GTTGATGTGGGAAATAATTGAAACAGTTGTCAAAGCAAATTTCCCACCTTATGGAAGAGACTTTGTCAATCACAAGCCAACTCCCACGGCACGGGGAATTAGCCTCCCTCTTTCGCTTCACATTTTTGAACTTGAACTTGGACCTTTAAGCTCGATTGATTTCTCTCCAAAACTGTGGGGGGGTGTAGATGCGATTAAGAATATGAATTTCAAATTTTCATCATCGTTTCTATGGTACAAGCAACAATCATTCAAATAAAGAAGATGTAGTTGACAAAGATTTTAAAACACACAATGCATATGCAAAAAAGAGGGAGGATCTAAAACTGCAGAATAACGTGACCAACTTAATAAATCCGAGATATAGGCATTCATCAAAACGGTAAAGATAACCAATACTTCAAACCTACGATCATTCTTACAAAATCTTCTAGACAAAAGTGACAGGTACAAGCAAACAATAATCAGAATCTGGAAAGACAAGGGAACAGAATACACAATTCATGTGATTTTTCCAATTCCAAGCTGGTGTCCGACACAATACATGTTCAAAATCTGTGTCGCTGCCTTATTTACTTTCTATTTCCTATTATTTGCATTGCTTCACGACAAAGTGAGGTTAATGAAATCTACTGCATCACGAATAACAACCTCTTCAGTGGGGAGACTAGTGCGTTTGTTTCCTTTACATTTGCCGTATAATCCGTCACAGAACTGAACCACTTCCCCGAATATTCTCTTTCTCATTCTAGTATCAATACTAAGTAGGAAGTCCTAGAACCTTAAACCATGAAAATTTCAAGTTTCCTTGCCATTTTTATTGTCGTTTTATGTCTTCTCTTTCTCATTTTTTGATGGAGTACCGGAAAAGGGGGTACCGACTGAGGTGGTGGCGTACGGGAGAGTACAGGTACCGATTAGGTCCCAGGGGGTACTCACGGAGGTGGAGGCGGTACCGATGGGTTCCCAGGGTGTACCGACGGAGGTGGAGAGAGGTGCGACGGATGACTAGAGGGTACAGGCGGAGGTGGAGAGGGGTACCGACGGAGTCCGAGAGGGTACCGACGGAGGTAGAAAGTGTGCTGGCGGAGGTGGAGGCGGTACCGATGGGTTCCCAGGGTGTACCGACAGAGGTGGAGGGAGGTGCGACGAATGACGAGGGGGTACAGGCGGAGGTGGAGGGGGGTACCGACGGAGTCCGAGAGGGTACCGACGGAGGTAGAGAGTGTGCTGGCGGAGGTGGAGAGGGTACCGACGGAGGTGGAAGGGGGGAAATGGCTGTGGCGGATGACGTAGTTTTTGTGTCGGAGAGGACTACGGAGCTGAGGAATGGTACTAAGCGTGCTGTTGACGTGACATCGCTGGTGGTTGGTAAGAGACC